ACCAAAAGACAATCTGCTCAGTGGGTGTTTCCTTTCGAGGAGTTGCCAACTAAAGTGAAGAGAGATCGAAGTGCGGGAAAAAAAATGGTGGCCTCGTTCTTTGGAAGGATAGGTCATTTTGCAACAATTGTGTTAGAGGATCAAAAAACAGTTTCTGCAGAATGGTACACTACCAATTGTTTGCCACTTGTCTTGGAAAAAGTTCGAGAGAAACGACCTCGCAGTAGGATCCTCCTTCACCACGACAACGCCTCGTCGCACACCGCCAAGCGAACGATCGACTATTTGGCGACATCAAACGTTGAATTACTGGGTCACCCGCCGTATAGCCCCGACCTCGCGCCTTGTGATTTTTATTTATTTCCAAAAATTAAAGAAAAACTTAAAGGAAAGCGGTTTATGAATGCTGAAGAAGCGGTGGCTGCGTATCGCGATGCCATTGAAGAGACCCCTAAGGACGAGTGGGCAAAGTGCTTTTCCCAGTGGTTCCATCGCATGCAGCGGTGTATTGACGTGAATGGACAATATTTTGAAAAGATATAATAAAACTAATAACTGGCTAATGTAATCAGTTTTTGATTTTCTAAGAACTTTCAGTTTGACCCTCGTATTTGCGTTGCTACTGATTTACAACTTTTTCAACATTCCATCTCTTAATATGATAACTCCCACTAAGTTTCGCAAAAATTACCTAAATTACTTTCATGCGGTTTTTCAAAGACTATTAGACATAAAATTGCAGCAAACACTCTGGGGCACACCGCAAGAGCGCATCAGATTAGGTATGCAGAGTGAATTACATGAGAGTATCATAAACCTATGAATTTCCGTGATTTTTAAGATTGTCTAGTCAAGTGGTATACTTATATTACTTATACGTTGAAGATTTGTTTCTACTCTGTTATAAATTTGTTTACAGTTTTCACCGGTGAATGGCGTATACATTATGGATTTGTTGATTTTATTATTGAATTATGGCAATTAATATTGACTTAGGCATGTAGGAAAAATTCGGGATGATCGGGAACTAACTACTTAGCAATTAATTTACTTTAAATAATTGTTTAAAATTGGAAATTGACGGTTATTTTAAACTGCTGGTGATTTTATTTCTGAATGGTATGTGGTCTGTATCAGTGCAAGGCCATTGAAATTAACTATATATTGAATAAAATTAACAGATGAATTTTAAAGGTTTTTAGAAAAAATAGTAGTAACAAGCTGTGCCTGCGGCTTTGCCCGCGTATGATGTAGCTTACAGTAGGGCGGAATTTAAGTAGTATTTCGGTGCAAATTCATTGTAAACAAACAAACGATCAAATGTTTTCTCTCATTAGTAGGTATAAATAACCTTCTTGAATTTCGAATCTTTTTCATTTTATTTATACTATTAAATATATAATTGTTAAATAATAGCAAAGACTATGCACAAATTTTAGTAAAGTATGCTGAAAGAGAAAAAACACATTATCATGTATCATCCAGATAATCTTGCTTCAATTTGGACCCTCATATTATAAATATCATAATATTTTATAACTATTGCCTATCGTTAGATGGGGTTCTGCAGGGCACACAACTGGGGCCGGTACTGTTTCCCCCTTTTTTAATACCCTCGCTTTGAAAACAATCTGATGCTCAATTGTTAGTTTATTATATTCAAATGTAAATATAGCACTTATTAAGTTTAATAGATGTTAATGTTGTTTGTAGATTAACTCCAATTTTCTATTAAAGGGGGTGTTATATTTGACTGTCACCATAGGGGAGAAGCTTTTTGAGATATCCGCAGATCTGACAGTTACCATCATAATTTGAGATTTCCACTTTAAAGACCCAATATAATTCGTAGCTGCTGCAGAATCTTATCATATGAAATCTCTATGTTACCAACTCTAAAAGTTAGACTACAAAAATATATTTTAATTTTCGTCTCCAAATCCATAGTACTTTTTTATTAAGATCTGAACGCCATCTAATTTTGCACCATGTATTCTCCTAGTATCAAAGTAAATGTACTAATCTTTATAATCGATTTAATAGAAGGCGGAGTAAAAAGAAATTAAAAATTGAAAATACTTTAAGATTTATAATATTTCATTACTTTCGCATTCACAATGCTATACTGAAAATTATTCTTATTATAATATATTAAGAATACTTTATGATTTTTTTCGTTTGCATTTTTGAAAAATATGGTATTTAACTTCCGATGACCTTCCGATGGCTCGCAAGTTAGTTTCAAGCTGGTTACTTGGGCAGAGTGCCCGTAGCAACAAAATAAATATAAAATAGAAATTGAACTCTAATATTACATATAAGTGTAATATATATAAAAAGAAGTATACAGTGAAATATAATAATCTGGACAATATAGTTTATAATATAATTAATTTTAAAAACAATACACCACGACATGACGGACGTATTTCATTTATTTAACCTCTCTCCGAATATCAGACCCGGGTTAGATTTGGACTTAGGACCAGACTAGGAATCGAACCCGAAGCCACAGAAATGGGACACCATGAAACTGATTTACGATAGCTGAGATATTGGTTTACCGGTCATGTCATACGAGCGAATCTAGACTACCTCATTGTCTTCAAAGTCAAAATCGTCTTAAGGTCGGACGTAATGACCTTACCTGTGGTTGCCTAGAAGAAATTGCTCTTTATAATACCGCCGATTGTACCATTAAACGCTGCAATGTCATGTAAATTATGGATATAATATATATTATAATAAAGAATTATCCATTAAATCATAAGAGAAAACGAACAATTCAACGCCCGATACGTGCAATCAATGAGATAGAAATAAGGACAAAGAATTGCACTAAATAAACTATTTTCAATTAATTAGTCTCAAATCATTTAAATAATCTCAGTCCATAGATGTAATAAGCCTCGGTTACGAATTGACTAATATAAGAAAATAGTAAATTAAGGGGTAACTTTTTTTTCTATAAAATTGTACCTATATTGTTGTGGCTTATTTGGTCCCTATGTATTTATAAAAGAAACAAGTAAAGGTTTAAAATGTATGATTTTTGTACTCTAGGTGTACATAACATTTGTTTCCATTTGTATTAATATTAGATAAAAGCAGCCATTCCAATAAAATAATATATAAAATATTGTTACAGTTATAACAAATCCCGCCAAAAAGCTGCACATAATAACAAATAATAACAACTCACATATCTGGTTACCAAACCAATTTATGTATAATATCCAAAAAAAGTTTCTTTTAGTTGGTGTTCCGTATTATTTATTAGCTGTAATATTACTAATTAGCACAAAGCATTTGTCTTAATTTATTATCATTTTGTTTCTATAATGCAATGCTTAGGCTTACAAGCCCTAAACAAAACGCACCACCACGCAAAACGAAACGTATGTCTTTACGTTGTAAGTGCCGCCACCTATATATAGACAGAGAGAAGTTCTCCGATCGCCGCTCGCACAGCAGGCATATTATAAAATTTAATAATAATCCGTTTCATAAAACCTAGCCAAATTCGCGACAAGTGTTTGTTGATGAAAGCTTCCAGCGACCTAATTATCAAAGCAGCTACTTACTGGGGCCCCATATCACGATACAAGAAAAGCGGTGTACTTGGTAAGTGAGCTGATCGCATTGCTTAATTAACTTTCTTACACAGTTGGTGTGAGTTTATAGCAGTCTTGGAATTTTATTTATTGGCTCTGAACGATAGCGACGCTTAAATAGCGCGGGGCCCGTAGCATTTGCTACTTTTGCCACAAGGCCAGTAATCCAGCCCTGGTGTTATACAAGACCACGCGGGCGAAGCCGTTGACTAAAATCTAGTAATGAATTATTTCATAATACAATTTCAACTTCTATGGATTAATACATGCTTGAAACAGCTCTAACTGAATAAAATAATATTGAAGAGGCACAATGAACAAGCAAAAATGGATTCCGTATAGTTACAAACAAACATTAAAAAGCATTAAGTCGTTTAAATTACCAGAAATTAAGATCGATTTGTTTTTTTCAGAAAAAAAACAACAAATCAACTTTCAATTAGGTCCCACAAATACAAACAAAAACCCTTTTATTACAAATATAAAACCATTAGTTTTAACTCTTAAGTTAATCTTTAAATGGAGGCAAAAAATCAAAAGGTGCCGACAGCGTTCGTTTCTAAAAGGTTAGTACGGCAACAATAAAGTTATCGTAATAGTTTACTTTAAGGAACCGTTATTTTATATTGTTTACTGTTAGTATGCCATTATGACAATTACAAGTATTGTATTACGTTTTCTGCCTATTTAGTTTCATCTAAATCACTTACTAACATTTATTCTTTTATTTTCTAATATTGTAATAACATACGTAAAATCTATTTAACTAAAGAGTTTTATCTTAATATTTTTACTAGCTGTTATCCCGCGACTTCACACGCATAAATTATAGCTTATATCACCCGCATATGATATAACTTCCCGTAGGTGAAAGAATTTTGAAAATAGGTCCATTACAAAAAAAATTTTTATCAAATGTTTATAAAAAACCAATTAAAATGTCTGTGATAAAAAAAAATCGCCGCCGACGGCAACGCCGTACCCAAAATTAAGGACGTGAAACTTATTTCAGAAAATTATTTCTTTATTTTGTTAGTTCTTAGTGTAATCATTCAGATATTGCTAGCGCAGCAACTGCAAGAGCTGGTTTAACCATCGCTCCATAGGATAAGCCCTATGGGATTCGGTGCTGGAGTTATGGCTCTTATATTGTTATTGTGCCCACACAAACGGACATTTAGAACATTTTTTTCCATTAAATAGGACTCGTCACATACACCTTTAACTAAAATTCCATTATTTTTTCCGTAGAATATAAGCTTAAGTATTTACCGTAATAACAATAACAGTTTTAACTTGACGTGTTTCTTAGTGTTACTAATTTCCGCAGCTTCAGCTGCTAAGCTGAGCTGGAATTTTACATACAATATAATTTGGATGTGAATGGAAATTGGAAAAAATGGAAGGTAGCCTTGCGACCAAGGTCGGCCAGTCCATATAGGCAAATTATGCAATCGCTTAGGGCGCTCGTAATTGGAGAAGGGGAGCATGGCATGGCTAATTGATTATTAAAAATGCAATGCTTTATAAAAAAATATTTTTCTTTCTTAGAACATGAGTCCATGTCGACGGTATTCAAACATACATCCCACCAGCAGCAGTACCTAAAGAGTTTATATAATGAAATGAGACAAACCCATCGAGTTTAAACACAATTTGTCTCGATCACTGGACAGAGATAATCTAACAAAGCTTGCTTAAAAAAAGACATAATTTTAAATTAACATCATATCTTACCGTGCGGCCTATCGTCAACACCATCGCTGTCCACCTCACTCCTGACACTTCCAGGGCTCGCTCTCTTCATCTCTTCCTGTCCTTGCTGATCCCCTTGGTATCCATTCATAACCCTCTTATCGTAGGACATGAAGAACGGAAAATTAGGCACCCTGTTCTGCTGGAAATAATATCCCATCTTCCCATCTCTAACTTTCACTTCCTCGTCTTCCGAATGTTCATTATTAGAAAAATCTTGAGATATAGTATTCTCTATATCGATTTCGGGTGATCTCCTGTCATTCAAACCTACTATCGATTCTATAGAAAAGTTTTTGGGCGGTATCTTCGTTTGCATTTTGCTTATCTCCGAATCCATCACTCTTTAAAAAAATATATAAACACTTTTTTTTATTGTCACAGTTCACACCACTGGCACTTGGTACGTCCGAACGTCGCGCGATTCAGAAATTTGAAAACGGAACGGAGTTTTGTATTTGGAACGTCCGAATGTCAGTACCCGACTGAATTTTGTGATGTCTTCGAACGAATGTTGTTTGACCACGCCTCCTACCGTGAGGGGAGTGAACGTTTTCTTCTTACACCAAAAAATGTTATGTTAAATCTTATTTTAAAGCAGTTAGGGTAGATTATACGATGAAAACTTAGAAGAGCTTACACATTTAAAGCATACTTATAGAATTTTGCACCATAATATGAAGGACATGGAAGCTAATTTATTTTGATCAATACGAAATAAAGTTATCATTTCATCTTTTGTTCGATAGAACGATAAAAAAAGTGTATTGTTATTTTATTGATGTAAATATAAGTATTACAATGTGAACATGTTAATTTTATTGTTGCGTTAGCTACCTGTGTTGGTTTTAATTTTATTTTACTTTGGTAGTAAAAATAAAATTGACGGTCAATAATTCTTGCAAGTTATACACCGAAACTAAGATTCCTTGGTATTAAAAGCTCTTGCAAAATGACTAGGTTCAAAGTTTTTTTTTAGTGTGCGTATGATGGAAAATTACTAAATATCATGTTTGTCTAATATCTCGTATCATTCCTTTTAGATAGAGAGAGATAGCAAACTGTCCGCAGAGCAAAGACCGCAAAGAAAGAGGAGGAAAACAAAGTTAGCTTAGGTATATTATTATTTGGTACATAGTCAAAAACCGGTCATGTGCGAGTCGGAGTCGTGCACGAAGGGTTTTGTCATACCATCATCTTTTTTAAAAAAACGTAAAAAATCAAGTTTAGACCCCTTAAATGTTTAGTACATACATTTTTTGTTTTTAGTACTTGTTGTTTAACGCGCAAGGCGGAGTCTTTCACTTATATCATAAAGAGAAGCATAATTACCCTTACTTGAAAAATTTCATAAATTAAGCACATATTTTTATTAAATAAATAAGAATTCGGATGAAGTAAGATTGTCTAAAGTTTAGAATACTTTATTATTAGCTATTAAGAGTACTTACTTCATTCAAATTCTCATCTATTGGTTCAAAAAAAGAGGTTCTTATTTACAAGATTTACTCAAGTAATTACTTCTCTAGACTAGTCATGGGTCGTATCTTCATCGGTTTCTTCTTGAATTGTGAACTAATTTCTGTCAAACTACCTGTTTTATCAGGATTTTGTCTGAGTAAATTATAGCCAATATCCCCCGCGTATTATGTAGCTTCACATAGATGAAAGAATTTTATAATCGGTCCCATACTTTCAAAACCTACCGAATGCAAACAAACAAGAAACCAAATTTTCCCACTTTATGATATTAGTATAGATTATTAGAAAAAAATGTCAAACAAATAAACAAAATCTCCTTAGACTTCCACTTTGTTATATTTTTTTATATCTACCTATGTAATTTTATTTTTTCATATTATATTAATATAATTAATAACCTACAAAAAACCTCGCACCAACTTTAATAACTATTTCTTGAATAAGTCAATTTTGAGTTTAGTATTATCACAGTTAAGTACGAGACCCTAATAATCACTAATGTAATCTTTCCACTATAAATTAACATAAATATTTAACGATTTTCACCATTAAAAAAATAAACAAAAGAAATATCTCTTAACTTTTTAGTTCAACAAATAATAATTAAAATTGTATGAGATTTTGGCCATAGAGACAATCAATTCAGAATAATTTTTAATGCTTTGAAATCTTAGAATAGTATTAAATCATACTGTAAAAGTATACAATTATATAAATAAGAAAACATTAATTCAATTTAATTCTAGTTTAAAGAAAACTACCAAATGTTTTGCAAACTTATAATCTTTTGAAAAAAGGCGTGTGAATATATCAAATATCTATCACTGACCATCAGAAGCAAAGACTATCTTTTTAGACGCCTGTATCAGGAGGAAGCCTCCATCTTCCTTTTTAACTATTACCATAACAACGACCGCATCGAATAAACGTGTAAGAACTGTTACACATTTTTTTTTGCATAATGTGACGTAAAATGTCCTTCTGCATCACCTGCTTTTTGTGCCTTTTACTCAATTTTTTTCAAAATTATTGTGACATAAGTGTTTGTTGTATGGAGTTATCGATTTGTTTCGTAGCCCGAATATTATTAATAAAAATAGCCCTCTCAAGCATAGTAATTAGCACACGAATATGCGTATGTAGTTTCATACTCAAATATTTTACGCGTTCAAAATTGCAATGCGCTTTGGAACGTTTATTCGTGTGAGAGTGTAAATCACCTTGCAGTGTAAAGATCCTTGCATTGTAAAGATCCTTGCAGAATTTCCAAACTATAACCATATGGTGTATTAATGTATTGTACTAAATAAATTAAGCAACTATTTTTGTAATGTATCAAATACGGATATTTTCCCGTTTTTTTATATATCATCTATACAAAGTGTAACTACATATTTGATACTGAGTTGTATGGTGATGTGTTAAGAGAGTGCAGGTTACTTTATGAATGCTGTACATAAATTAAAGAATAATTAACTACAGCTACAGGTTATAGAAGAATGTTCGAACTAGTTAAGTAATAAGGTAAGTAAAAACAATTACTATTGTACTAGGTACCTACTACAATATCGTGTTTTGCCTAACCTCATTCAAGCTGAAGATAACAGACCGATAGGGTAAATTTTCAAATTACGTTAAGTTAATTAAATTTAATATATAATACACAATACATAAATTACTTAGATCATTATTAGATAAAATTGAATAGCTAAAGCTGTTTTATTGTGGAAATCTGATGCAAGGGTAGTATTACAACATCCAGTCCCCAGATAATATAAGTATAAAAGTTGATCCGGCATAAGCGTCACTCAGCCACGGTGATTGTGTGTTTTATATTTAGAGTAAGCTGACGAAGACCAGACTTTTGAGTGAAGGTGAGAATTTTTATAAAATTATACACGTTAACATGGGCTCCTGTTATTAGCGTGGTCAAAGACCTAAGAGTCAGTTAGTCAAATTGACCCGCGACCATATCGAAGATATCCTGTAGTCACTCCCTAATATTAACAAAAAAACCGTTAATTTTTTCGTATTAAATTTACTTTTTTTATTTACACGTTTATTCGATGCGGCCGTCGACAAGTGCGCGACTGATTGATTGAGAGAATGAATTTTATTAAAATTCTATTATTCCACGCTTATTGTCTGATTCTAAAATTTATTGCTAATCCTTTCAATTGTAAAAGCGAGTAATGTTAGAGTTCAAAAAAATTTAGACTATTTCAGATAAGATCATATTAACGGTAGGTATCGTTTAGCGGAAATGTATAAAAGCAAATGGGCCATGAATTATGCTTTTTGTTCATAGAGTAGCCAAGGTTTATTTCATACTTTGCAAGTTTTTTTAAGTTTTGTTTTTGACGGACACCCAAGTCACCAGTCAAGTTTTTTAATTTGTGGCACAAATTAAAAAACACCGTGATAACGTGATTTATAATTTGCAAGTATAGTGTATTTAAGTAGACTTAAGGATCTATTGAGGTCGTGGGTTCGAATCCAAAGTCATCTCAAAGTCCAATTCCTACCACGGAAAAAATCAAGGAGTTTTTAAGCATTTATTTATTATTACGAATATTTTCCAACATAAGTAGCATTTTGAATGCAAAGTTGATCAAATATAATCTATTGTAAATTTTATGCGAAATAAAAACGCTATCCTCTTTGCCTATCTATCTCACTGTCAGTAGATACTCCGTTCCACCACAAAAAGCTCACGTTTATTGTCTCCCTTAAATAACTATTTATTTTATTCTGTTTATAGGTTTCTGTGCCCAAAATGTAAAAGCAGGACCTAATTACTAAGTTTCCGCTATCCGTCCATCTGTCAGCAGATTGTATCTCATAAATCGTGATATATAGACAGTTAAGATTTTCAAAAATGATGTATTTCTCTAAAATAAAATAAATATTTATGGGTACTTTTTGGTACAAAAACCTTTTTGCGCGAGATCGACTCGCACTTACCCGTTTTTAAAAGGCATTACACTATTATTATCATTAGCTACTCCAGTATTGTAAGTTATTTGACAAAGGCATTGTGGATACACTAGCGACATCTCTTGAACAGCTTTAGAGCCAAAAGTTTCTACAAAAAAATTACTAGCGATGACCTCGCAAATACTGACATCTAGTATGAAGTAGAATAACTATTTATGCCGTCCTAAAATAACCGGCATCTGTTAACGAATAGCAAAACTAACTAAGATTTAAGGTACTGAGCGTTTCTGCGTTATACCCACTAGATATCTCTTTAAGTACACAAATTTTTTTTTCATGTACAGCTGGCTGTTTCCGCGACTTCGCTTCGCGAAACCGATAAATACTTATAAGCTATTGAGAAAATGTCAAACGAATTTTAATTGAATTTCAACTGCAATCTTTTGATGGGTTTAACTAAGTTTTTATTGTGTTTAGTGGTTAGTCGTTCTAAAAGCGATTACGACTTTATACGTTACGTAAATCGCTATTCCATTTCAAAGGAATCGCGACAAATTTTAAAATTAAACATTAGTCCACCGATTCGCTTTCGAGGCAGTGATAAGTAGTAGAATCTAAAAACGATGTTCTTACCGCCCAGTTTGGGTGAACAAATATTATTATTTTTACTGTTTTCTTCTTTTCTTCATTTCTTTTCTTTTTATACCTACTTTACCTGCTTTTTTCCGACTTCATCTAATAGAAAAAAAAGGTTACTCCAATCCTTTTCTAGTTGTGCGTGTTTTTATTGTATTAAATAAATAACTTCAGATTATTTGTACATTTTTAAAATTAATAAACAATGGTAGCAATTCTATTACGCAAACTAATACTGTCAAGCTAGCTGTCACCAGCGCCGTGTATGATATGCCTTCCCATAGATGAAATAATTTTTAAAATCAGTCCAGTAGTTTTGAAGTCTATTCAATACAAATAAACGTTCAAATCTTACCACTTTGTAATATTAGTATAGAAAAACCATGAATATTCATCACACAGGTAATACA